GAAGAAAATTTTCAAGAACTAAGAAAAAGTTGTAATACTTTTGACTGATGCCGAAAATGCAGGGTGCCTAATACTAACAAGAAGTGATGCCAGACTTGTGCTGAAAAAGAATGACAAGGCACAGAGTTAAAAAATCTAACGGGACAAGAAATGATCAAAAAATTTATTCAGCCAATACATGTGCCCTGGATTGGCGAGAGAACATTTCACTGAATATCTTATGACAAATTTGAAATCGAGAAAGATGAAAATGGTAAAGTCAAAATTTTAGGTAAAGGAGGATTTGCTATAGTTTATAAAGCCATACTAAAATGAAGCGAGAACGAAGTCCGAGAAGTAGTTCTAAAAATTTTAAATAATTCTAAAAATATCACTTTATTTTTAAGAGAAATTGCTAACAATAGGCTAGTTTCTGGCTTATTTACTGTTCATTATTATGGTATTTCCCAAGACCCTGATGGAAATTATATAATGGTAATGGATTATATGGAAGGTGGTAATCTGCAACAATTTTTGTGGGAAAATAAAGGACTAAGCATTAGATATAAACTTGAAAAATGAGAAAGTGTTGCTACAGGATTAAGTGTTATTCATGGACAGAATCTAATTCATCGAGATTTGCATAGTAGAAATATATTGTTTGGTTATAATGTTCTTTGAGCCCCCCATTTAAGAAAATTTAGAGGTTTTATCACTGATTTAGGTTTATGTAGACCAGTTAATGAAACTGATCAAAAGAACGTTTATGGAATAATACCTTATGTGGCTCCTGAACTTTTAAAATTTTCAATGAATCCAAAATCATATACATTGGTACCATATTCCCGAGCCTCTGATGTTTATTCTTTAGGAATAACCATGTATGAATGATTTGCTAATAACTATCCTTATTATGATTATAGAAATTTAAATTTAAATAATAGTGAATTAATTGATAAGATATGTCTCGAAAACTTGCGACCTAGTGTAGATAAAATTCCTATACCTCAATTATTAAAAAGTTTGATTAAAAAATGTTTAGACGATGATCCGCAAAAAAGACCTACTGCTAAAGAATTATGTAAAACTATTTGAGATTGGAATATTGAAATTATGTGTGAAAAAGTAAAAGATACTGAATTTGTTCGTCAACTTCGAGAATCAGAATTAGTCTATAATCATTGGTCTCGAAATAATTCTTATTAAATAAACTCTCTTGATACTCCTGCTAGTAAAATTATTGACACGAAAGAAATTATTCGCTTACTTAAAAAAAAACAATTAGATCTAAATACAAACAAAACTTCCAAAGGAGATTTAAGCAATTAGTTTCAATCAAGAGGTATGCCCCTCTCCTAAAATTACTATATTATGAAACTCATTTATATTAAATCTACTATTACCCCCAAAGATTATAGTGTGGTACGGGAAATTTTAAAAAAAGAAAGAGGGGAAAAATTGGCTCCTTTTGTTTATAAATTAAGTAAATTAGACAGTTTAGAAAAATATTTAAATAAGGAGAATATTAATTATGAAGTTTATCAAGAAAATTTTAATAAAAGCGATAAAAAAGCCCCTGCCAAAAGTAAATCAAAAGCACAAGAATTAAAAAAGGCTTATCAAGATTTTGCTAAAAATCAGAAACTAAAAAAGGAATTATCGGTATGAGATGAATCCGTGGGAGATGGAGTAAATAATGAGTAAAAAAGTAGTTTGTCCGCGTGGTTTTCCACACCAAGGCGAAATTTATAAAGTTTACTTTTCTAAAAAGGAAAAGAGATTGGGAAAATCCGCCCTGCTTTGGTAATCAGTAATAATGCTCAAAATGAGTTCGATGACCAGATAATTGTAGCTCCTTTAACTTCCGAACCCAAGGAAGTTTCCAAAGAAAGACCCTTTACAGTTTTAATTAAAGTTGGCAAGGGTAATGGTTTAGAAAAGGTCAGTAAAATTCTGTTAAATAGAGTTCAAACTATCGATATTGAAAAGCGTTTAAGAGATTATATTGGTCGAGCTAGCCCCGAGATAGTAAAAAAATCCCAAGGAGCCTTAAAAATAGTTTTTGATTGAGAGTAAAAAAAATACCATGAATGAAAACGAAACTAAATTTTTACACCACAAAATAAAAGAAGAATTTGGGAGATTAGAAGTAGAAGAAAAAACTCCTGTTCCCACGATAATAACCGAAAATCTCAATCCTAAATTTCCACTTCGTCCTTATCAGAAAAATGCTTTACGATATTTTATTAACTACTGAGAAAAAGAATTTAAAAGTAAACCCAATAAGCAACTTCTCTTTCAAATGGCAACCGGCAGCGGCAAAACTTTAATCATAGCGGGGTTAATTTTGTATCTCTACCAGCAAGGATATCGGAATTTTCTCTTTTTTGTTAATAGCACTAATATTATTGATAAAACTCGGGATAACTTTTTGAATGATACTTCTATCAAATATCTTTTTAATAAATCTATCTCTTTCGAAGATAAGAAAATCAGCCTCCAAGAAGTCGATAATTTTCAAACTACCAATGACAGTAGCGTTATTAATATTTGTTTTTCCACTATTCAGGGTCTCCATTCTAGATTAAATAACCCGCAAGAAAATAGTTTAACTTATGAGGATTTTTCCGAGCAAAAAATTGTGCTTATTTCCGACGAGGCTCATCATATTAATGTCGAAACCAAATCTCTTTCGCAACTTTCCAAGGAGGAAAATGAAGAAGTTNTTTCNTGAGAAANCACAGTCAANCGNATATTTAACGCTAATTCGGATAATGCTCTATTGGAATTTACCGCTACTATTGATTTTAATAACCCTAACATTTTAAGCAAGTATGCNGAAAGNCTTATTTANGACTANCNNTTAANACAATTNCGGATAGATGGTTATTCCAAAGAAGTTAAAGTTATGCAAACNGATGCTAAATCTTTNGACCGGGCTTTGCAAGCCGTATTATTAAGCCAATATCGCCGGAAAGTATTCGAGAAAAATAAACTACTTATCAAGCCGGTTATCCTTTTTAAATCCAAAACCATCAATGAAAGCAAAATTTTTGAGGAAGAATTTATTAAAGGTATAAGAACGCTCATGGCTGAGAAAATTGCGGAAATTAAAGTTAATTCAAAAGACCAAACAATAATAAAAATGTTTAAATATTTTGAAGATAGCAAAATTTCTTTCGAAAATTTAGTGGCTGAACTCCAAGAAGATTTTTCGGCTGAAAAAACTATCTCAGTCAATAGTAAAGATGAAAGCGAAGAAAAACAGTTAGCGGTCAACACTTTGGAGGACCCTCAAAATGAGTATAGAGTTATTTTTGCGGTTGATAAACTTAATGAGGGTTGGGATGTACTTAACCTTTTTGATATTGTTCGTTTATATGATACTCGGGATGCTAAAAATAACCAACCCGGGCCAACCACGATTCGAGAGGCCCAATTAATTGGTCGTGGAGCCCGATACTGTCCTTTCAAACTTGACAATTTTGACGACCCTTATAAGCGAAAATTTGATAACGACCTGGAAAATGAAATGCGAGTTTGCGAAGAACTTTATTATCACAGCACCTATAACCCCCGCTATATTCAAGAGTTAAATACTGCTCTCATAAANTCTGGCATTATTCCCAACCATACCGNTAAGCAAAANCTTATTATTAAAAATGATTTCAAAAAAACTTCTTTTTATAAAACTGGTTTCTTATTCCTCAATTATCCGGAGAAAAATTTACGAAAGGAGGTGTTTAGTTTACCCTCTTGAATCCGGGATACTGTTTATTCGGTGTCGCTACGAACCGGTTTTAGTCTTTCCGACAGTCTTTTTACNGAACNAACCAAAAAAGGAATTGAACGAAAAGAGAAAATTTTTTATCTCCGTGATTTTAGGAAAGTGGTTATTCAAAAATCCCTTTATAAACTTGACTTTTACTCTTTTTCCAACCTCAAAAAGTATTTTCCTAATCTGAAAACTCTAGAGGAATTTATTTCAGAGTATTTGGGAGAAATNAAAATAANTGTTTCTGGATTNGTNNNNCAACTNGAAAANTCCCTTACTCCAGAACAGGAATTAGAAGCAACCACTAAAATTCTCAACCAAATCGCTACCAGTTTATCTTCCCAAAACTCGGAATGAAGAGGCAGTAAAACATTTAAACCATACTTACTGAAAGAGAAAATTAGTGATAAAGTATTAAACTTTGCTCCGAATGACAGCGGAGATAAAGAGTTCGGTAANAGTAAAACATTTAAACCATACTTACTGAAAGAGAAAATTAGTGATAAAGTATTAAACTTTGCTCCGAATGACAGCGGAGATAAAGAGTTCGGTAAATCCATGAATTATCGTTTGGGAGACCAATTTTACCTTGACCTCAGTCAAAAACCTTGACATATTTTTAATGACTGCTTTGGAACCTCGGAAGAAAAGTATTTAGTGAAGTACATCAACCGAATGCATGAGAAACTCCAAAAAAAATACGATTGATTTTACTTAATTCGCAATGAGCGATTTTTTAAACTTTATAGTTTTGAGGATGGAAAACCTTTCGAGCCGGATTATTTACTAATTTTATATCAAAAAGAAAAAAAACTTTATTATCAAGTATTTATTGAACCCAAAGGCAGCCATTTTAAAGAAAAAGATGCTTGGAAACAAAATTTTCTCCTCTCGCTTAAAAAAGAATGTCAAATCGAACAATTATGAGAGGACAAAAAGTATCGCGTTTGAGGTCTACCCTTTTATAATAAAACCGAAGAAGTTGATTTTGACAAAAATTTTAACCAAGAATTATTATAGTTTCTCTTAGAAAAGTGAACTTATTCAACTTTTTTTGGATTACCACTTAAAAAGTGGACAAAACAATACTATAAATTAATATTCTAGTTGGANCATTCTGGTAATTCTTTCAATTTTTTAATCAATAAATCTAACTCGGATAAAAAACTAGGCAAAGAAGTTAAAATCTCGGTAACTACTNCTATTATAAGTATGACTAGTTTNATTTCATTTTCATTAAATTTGGCAGAGGCGACAGGAATCGAACCCATGCCTTCTGATTTGGAGTCAAAAATCCTACCACTGGACTACGCCTCCCCAATTTACCTAAAGAATAAGCCGTATTCTGTATTTACTCGGTGATCTATCTTAACTTCCCAAGGGAAATTACCAAAGCAGGATTATTTATTCTCCTTTTTTGGGGCTCCTACCAATTAAGAATTTGGATTGCTCGCTAGCGGGGTTTACGACGTCTCACTTCCTTGGTTTCCCAAGTAATCGTCACTATAGCACTTTTAAAGACTGATATCCTATATCGAAAAAGATACTTAGATACTTCGTCAGCCGTTCGGAGACTATGAAACTCCGACCTAGATTTATTAGATCTAGCACTAAAACTCTCGGCATTCCAGCCGAGGCGAGGACGGACTTTCCTCAACCATTTTAAATGGCTGCCACCAACACTTTAGGTATATATTAATTTTAAGATTATCGATTAACAAATTAACTACTAAGTAATTCTAGTTATGAACTACCCCCACCTAATCTTTGTCTTTACAAAAGCCAAAGTCTTTCAGTCCTTACGATTTGAGAAATGTTAATACTGTGAACTTTTAAAAGTTCAGAGATGGGAGTTTCCTAGTTTAACTAAATTGATTAGTCATGAGCCTAGCAGGCTATACCAACTCGGTTGGCAAAGTTCCTAGCCTGTTGTTTTCTAATCCTTTATTAAAAGAATTAGTATTTCATTGGGCTAAATATAAGATATTTTTNGCAGCATTAACATCCCTATCTAATATCAAGCCACAAGAACAATTATAGATTTCAACATCTCTTTCTATTTTAGGATTGGCTAATTTACCACATTGGCTACATCGTTGAGTGGTGTTTTTGGGATTAACTACAATCACTTCCTTACCAGTTTCCTTCACTTTATAAGAAAGGAATTGGGCTAGTTGATATCAACATGCCCGAATAATACCTTTTGCTAACGAACGATTAACTTTTCTTTTTTTATCCTTTTTCCTCTCGGTCATCTCTTTACTTTTCAAATCCTCCAAACCAATCAAATCAAACTTATCAACAATTTTTCGAGATAGTTTGTGATTTCTATCTTTTATCCGATTACTTACTTTCTCGTGTTTTCGAACTAATTCTAACTTTTTCTCTTGGTAATTTTTACCCCCTTTCTTTTTTCGGCTTAACTCTCTTTGAAGTTTAATTAGTTGTTCCTCCCCTTTTTGAAAATATTTTGGATTAGTATATTTTCAGCCCTCACTAGTAGCGAATAATTTCTTAACTCCTCTATCTATCCCTATTTCTCGACCGGTTTTGTTTATTTGTTTTGGTTCTATTCAACAACCAAAAGAAACTAATCACTTGTTATTTTTTCAAGCAACAGTTAAGGTTTTGATAATTCCTTGAATAGGCTGATTAAGTTTTAATTTGATAGTTAACTTTCTTTGGTTTTTTTCTACGGCTGAACCAAGTTTGATAAAGAGTTGGTTGTTTTCAATTCCAAAACTCCTATTATTTTGGGTATAACTAAAACTGTCATATCACCGATTATCAGTTTTCAGTCTTGGATATTTGGCTTTAAAATTGATGGTTTTGTATTCTCTATATTTTTTTCAAGCATCGGCGACCCGAACTCGAACTACTTGCTTTAAAATTTGAGAATAGATTTGGTTTAGTCAAGGATTATTTGCTTTTAACTGAACTAATTCTCTTTCTTGCTGTTCTTTGGTTGGTTGTTTTTGCTTATTCTTATCACATTCTATTCTTTGGTTTAGAAAGTGGTTATATACAAAACTGCATCCTTTCGAGATAAGATTTAGTTGCTGTTTAGTGATTTGGTTGGGTTTGATATAACCTTGAATAGTTTTAGTTAGATAGTTCATGCCAATGAAATACTTTAATTTTTTCTAAAATTAGAGAAAAATATCTTATATAACTAATTTTTAGCAATTCATCTCTAATCTTACAAAGATTACAGTTTTTCAATCCTCACCACTTATAGAATGAAATACTTATTCTTTTGTTTACAAAAGGATGAGAAGTGGGGGCGTTCTTGCTAGATTTTTGGTAAATAATTCGATATTCACTAAATCGATATCGCCCNGCTACTTTCTTAAAATCTACCTTTTAATTCTCTTATAATCATGCTTACTTAAATCAATCTCTCATGCTTCATTATGTTTTCATGTGAAAAATATTCTTCATTGACCGCCAGTTCGAATGCTATAATGATTTTTNGTNCCTTGAATTAGTTCGAGGCGAAAACTAACCGTTTTGGCTCCTTTTTCTACCGCAAACATATTAAAATCCCTCTTATCTCTCGCATTGGCTACTATTTTTAAGTTTTGGCGAGTTTCCGCAACATTTTTAATTCCGCTTCATTGGGAAAATCATTCGCCTTCCATGTATTCTTTGACATTTTTCTTAAATTTTTTTCGCTTAATGGTTAACGGCATGTCCGGAATTNGCTCGCTTTTCTTTATAAGGAATAATCCGCTTTTTTAGTATTTCTATTTTTTCTTTTGCTAACTCTTCCTCATANCTTCTTTGGAGGTTCATTCAGAATTCGACAGTGCTATCAAAATATCAGGCTAGCCGAACTGCTAAATCTAAGGTGATATCTCCTCTTTCCTCACAAATCCATTTTATTTGTTCTTTCGGAACTTCTAAGTCTTCCGCTAACTCTTGAGGACTAATATCACGAGGAATCAGTAATCTTTCTCGTAAGATTTCTCCCGGATGAATTGGGAGGAGTTTTTTTAGTTTAAGGGTTTTTTTCATAAAGTAATTTTACTAAGTAACTAATTTTTCAACCTTGGGAGAGGAGACCAAACCGGTTCTAAAAAAGTTCCATCTCNTTCTTTAACCTAATTATTTTTTACNTTTCTTTTTCCTCCANCAAGCAGCGGCAATTCCTCCGATGGCGAATAAATAAACTCCTAAAATTATCCACGGCGTTAACCAGGCTGAGGATTTGTCACCCGGTCTATTTTGCTCTTGGTAAATCTCTCCTTGATTATCTTTTTCCAAGACCANNTCANTTTCGGAAATCCGGTCGGCAAAAGTTAAATCGGCATGCTCGTGACCNCCTTGGTTCGGAGAAAAGTAAATCCCGATTTTTTTNCTGNCNGTTTGACCGCATTCNTTCTCCTCGTGATAAGCCAAGTCGGCTCGTCCTTGTTTTTTGGCTTGGTCTCAATCGCTAATGGCTTTATCTAATTGCACTTTGCCTCAACATTTTCGNCACNNNTAGAAACANCGGGTCGGGCTTTTTCNNGTCTCTTCTCATTTATTTTGTTTAACTTCTTTTGATTGAGTAGAGTTATTTTTCGCCGAACAATTATTTTCGTGGTTGGCTCGGTCATTTTCTACTTTCGAGCGAGCGGCGAAAAACTCTAAATC